AGTGCACCGCACTATCTCACTAAAAAACGAACGGGGTGCTGCAGCACCCCCAGGCAAACCCCGGCTAGTAAACGGCACTAATGGTAACGCGTAACCCTATGAGTTAGGCGTTAGGCGTTAGTGATTAGGGGTTAGGTGTTAGGTTAGCCGACGGATATTCGTCGCAGCATCCGTTGTGCATCGACTACGAAAGGGTTATTTACACCATAGATTAATGTTGTGGTATCTATATGACCACCGCGTATATGAGATAGCGCACGTCGGGTTTAGAGTTAAGTGCTACGCGTTAGGGTGGGGTTGTCAGTTCATTGCAATAGGTTGGGACTGTTTGGTACTTGCGCTGTGCTAGATTTGCTCAGACGAACTTCCACTGTCCTTCAGTTTGGCGCACAATAACGAAGGGGTTTAAAACATTTGGCGGTTTAAACAAGACATTTTGGGTCACAAGGCACCATAAAACAGCGTTACGCTTAAGTGGTATGGAAAAAATAGACGCGCCGGGACCGCAGTCTGAGCCGCAGTGAAAGGGTTTTAAAATTAGAATTAGCAAGAACTGGATTCAGGCTGAATCCTCCCTCCCTCCCCCGCCAACAACAGCTTTCAGGCCGTTCGAAGCCATTTCTTTTTTCTCTTCTTTCTTTCTTTCTTTTTTCTTTTTTTCCCTTCTTTTTTTTTTAAATCATAGGGGCAACCGCCCCCCCCCTCCATGACGCCGCGCCTTACCGGGACTATGGAATTCAATTAACGAGCTACAACTACATACTAGCAGGGATTAATAATGACAAATGAAAAATTCAAAATTTTTTTTCAACATTATTAACCCCCGAGACTAGGTATTGGGCAGTGCTTACATACCAAGTGGCATAGTTGTGTACAGCACATCTGGTGGGCTATGCCGACCACGTAGCTTCACTGATCGACAGGGGATGTATCCAAGAGTAGTGAGGAAATCCTCAGGGATTTCAACGCCTTTCCAAACAATGCCCTTTTTCATGGGTTGTCGACGGATTCGGCCTGTGGCTGGGCGATCTGTGCTCTAAAGGTTTTCACAGAAAATGTTGTACAAACGTAGTGAATACAAAGACATGCTGACAAGTTTTATTTAATACTGTACCTGTAGTAACATGAAAATACGCACACTATCTCATGAACAGATCATGCAATATCTATGCATTATGTCCATATATTCATTTGATCATACACGTGTGTGTGTATATATATATATAAATGTTCATGGCAGTATGCATGGGTTCATTCTAGTAGTTATACATGGAACACTGTCAATCAGGTCAAATATAGCTGCCGTATGCCATCTATTAGCAAAAACTATTTGTAAGTGCACAACGTCAGCAATGTGTGCAATTGTTATTGTCACATTGGTCTGGTATTTCGTTTGTAGTCAATTTTTTAAATCTTTATAACGGCAACACCATCTGCCACAATACAAATTATTAAAATTTTCTTACAACAAAAATCACTACACAATCATTTAGGACCATGCAATCAATGGCCATACAT